CCATGGTGGCTTTTGGTGGCCCCATGGTCCCCAACCCCATTGTCCCCATGAAGGACCTTCAGGACCACCCCATTGTCCCCGTGGTGGCCCTTGGTGGCCCCAGGGTCTCCTCCGGCGCCGTTCCGACGTCACCTCGACGTCTCCTCCTCTTCCCGTTGCTTCCTCCTCCGCTCTTCCTCCTCCTCATCCTCCTGCTGGAACCTCCTCTGCAGCTCCTCTGGAATTGTCACCTCCAGGAGGTTCTCCATTCCCACCTCGGGCTCGTCCGCGATCAACACCTGCGCAATTCCCGCCAAAATCCCAACTTCCCGCCTCGGCAACTCCCGGGATTCCCGGGATTCCCGGGATCTCACCTCGATGAGCTTCTGGCAGGCGCTGAGGACCTCGGGGTTCTTCTCCTGCTGGTGGAGCTCGCGGAGAACCAGGTAGGAACCGTTGGACCTCAGGTGGGACCGCCCCGATTTGGTGGCCGAGAGCTGGGGAAATTCGGGAATTTGGGGAATTTTTGGGGAATGGGAAGCTGGGATTTGTTGGGATCTCGCAGAAGAAGGAAGGGGTTCTGTGGTGGGTGGTGGAACACGGAGAAGTTCTCCTGGAGCTCCAGGAGATGGGGGTGGAGAGCGGGATTTGGGGTGGAACGGGTGGAATTCCTCAAGGGATCCCAAAATTTCTCCCAAAATCCCAAAATTCCTCAGGAAATTCCCAAAATTCCTCCAGGAACCCCCAAAATTCCTCAAAGAAATTCCAAAATTCCTCCAGGAACCCCCAAAATTCCTCAAGGAATCCCAAAATTCCTCCCAAAATCCCAAAATTTCTCAGGGAATCCCAAAATTCCTCCAGGAACCCCCAAAATTCCTCAAGGGATCCCAAAACTCCTCCCAAAATCCCAAAATTCCTCATAAAATTCCCAAAATTTCTCCAGGAACCCCCCACGTTCCTCAAAGAAATTCCAAAATTCCTCAGGGAATTCCCAAAATTCCTCCCAAAATCCCAAAATTCCCCGGGAATTCCCAAAATTCCTCCAGGAACCCCCAAAATTCCTCAAAGAAACTCCAAAATTCCTCATGGAATTCCCAAAATTCCTCAAGGGATCCCAAAATTCCTCCCAAAATCCCAAAATTCCCAAAATTCCCAAAACCCCCAAAATTCCTCAAAGAAATTCCAAAATTCCTCCAGGAACCCCCAAAATTCCTCAAGGAATCCCAAAATTCCTCCCAAAATCCCAAAATTTCTCAGGGAATCCCAAAATTCCTCCAGGAACCCCCAAAATTCCTCAAGGGATCCCAAAACTCCTCCCAAAATCCCAAAATTCCTCATAAAATTCCCAAAATTTCTCCAGGAACCCCCCACGTTCCTCAAAGAAATTCCAAAATTCCTCAGGGAATTCCCAAAATTCCTCCCAAAATCCCAAAATTCCCCAGGGAATTCCCAAAATTTCTCCAGGAACCCCCAAAATTCCTCAAAGAAACTCCAAAATTCCTCATGGAATTCCCAAAATTCCTCAAGGGATCCCAAAATTCCTCCCAAAATCCCAAAATTCCTCAGGGAATTCCCAAAATTCCTCAAAGAAATTCCAAAATTCCTCCGGGAATTCCCAAAATTCCTCCAGGAACCCCCAAAATTCTTCAAAGAAACTCCAAAATTCCTCATGGAATTCCCCAAATTCCTCAAGGGATCCCAGAATTCCTCCCAAAATTCCTCATAAAATTCCCAAAATTCCTCCAGGAACCCCCAAAATTCCTCAAAGAAACTCCAAAATTCCTCAGGGAATTCCCAAAATTCCTCCCAAAATCCTAAAATTCTTCACGGAATTCCCAAAATTCCTCATGAAATTCCTGAAAATCCTCCCAAAATCCCAAAATTCCTCAAAAAGTTCCCAAAATTCCTCAAGGAACCCCAAAATTCCTCCCAAATTCCTAAAAATTCTCAGCAAATTCCCAAAGTTCCTCCCAAAATTCAAAAATTTTTCCCAAAATTCCTGAAAAACTCCCAAAACTCCTCAGAAAATCCAAAAATTCCCCAAAAAATTCCCAAAATTCCACCCAAAGTTCCCAAATTCTCCCAAAATTCCCAGAAATCCTCAAAAAACCCCAAAATTCCTCCTGAAATTCCCAAAACTCCTCAAAAATTCCCAAAATTCCTCAAAAAAATCCCAAAATTCCTCCAAAAAATACCCAAAATTCCTCCCAGAATTCCCAAAATCCCAAAAACTCCTCAGAAAATCCAAAAATTCCTCAAAATTTCTCCCAAAATTCCACAAAAAATCCCAAAATTCCTCAGAAAAATCCCAAAATTCCTCCTGAAATTCCCAAAATTCCAAAAACTCCTCATAAAATTCCCAAAATTCCTCAAAAAAATCCCAAAATTCCTCAAAAATTCCCAAAATTCCTCCTGAAATTCCTCATGGAATTCCAAAAACTCCTCAAAAATTCCCAAGATTCCTCATAAAATCCCAAAATTCCTCAAAAAAATCCCCAAATTCCTCAAAATTCCTCCCAAAATTCCCAAAATTCCTCAAAAAAATCCCAAAATTCCTCAAAAAAATTTAAAAATTCCTCCCCAAATTCCCAAAATTCCTCAAAAAGTCCCCAAATCCCTCAAAAAAATCCCAAAATTCCTCAAAAATTCCCAAAATTCCTCCCAAAATTCCCAGAATTCCACAAAAAAATCCCAAAATTCCCCCTAAAAATTCCCAAAAACCCCCAAAATTCCTCAAAAAAATCCCAAAATTCCTCCCAAAATTCCTCAAAAAATCCCCAAATTCCTCCCAAATTCCCAAAATTCCCTAAAAATTTCCTTTTCCCGCCGGAACCCTTCCCAAATTCCGGAATTCGCACCAACATCAGCGTCTCCAGGATCATTTTCCGGATCTCCGGGTCCTCCTCGCGGCGATGCTCCGGGGGCAGGAACTGCAAATCCACGGGAAGCTCTGCAATTCCACAGGGAAAATCAGGGAATCCGGGAATGTGCCCAAAAAATTCCCTAAAAATTCCCAAAAAATCCCGGAATGTGCCAAAAAAATTCCCAAAAATTCCCCCAAAATTCAAAAAAAATTCCCCCAAAATTCCCAAAAACCTCAAAAAATCCCGGAATGTGCCCAAAAAATTCCCAAAAAAACCTTGGGAAATCCCGGAATGTGCCCAAAAATTCCCAAAAAACCCCAAAAAATCCGGGAATGTGCCCAAAAAATCCCAAAAAACCCCAAAAAATCCCGGAATGTGCCAAAAAAATTCCCCAAAAATTCCCAAAAACCTCAGGGAATCCGGGAATGTGCCCAAAAAATTCCCAAAAACCTCAAAAAATCCCGGAATGTGCCTAAAAATTCCCAAAAAATCCCAAAAAAACTCAAAAAAGCTGGCGATGTTCCCAGAAAATCCCCCAAAATCCCCAAAAACCTCACATAATCCTGGAATGTGCCCAAAAAATTCCCCAAAAATCTGGGAATGTTCACAAAAATTCCCCAAAAATTCCCAAAACCTCAAAAAATCCCAGAATGTGCCAAAAAAATCCCAAAAAACCCACAAAAATCTCAAAAAATCTGGGGATGTGCCCAAAAAATTCCCAAAAACCTCAAAAAATCCTGGAATGTGCCCAAAAAATTCCCAAAAATTCCCAAAAACCTCAAAAATCCCGGAATGTGCCAAAAAAATTCCCAAAAATTCCCCCAAAATTCAAAAAAAATTCCCCCAAAATTCCCAAAAACCTCAAAAAATCCCGGAATGTGCCCAAAAAATTCCCCAAAAATTCCCCAAAAAATCCCGGAAGGTGCCAAAAAAATTCCCTAAAAACCCCAAAAACCTCAAAAAATCCCGGAATGTGCCAAAAAAATTCCTGAAAAACCCCAAAAGCCTCAGCGAATCCGGGAATATTCCCAAAAAATTCCCAAAAAAACTCCAAAAACCTCAAAAAATCTGGGAATGTGCCCAAAAAATTCCCAAAAAACCCCAAAAAATCCCAGAATGTGCCAAAAAAATTCCCCAAAAATTCCTAAAAACCTCAAAAAATCCCGGAATATTCCCAAAAAATTCCCAAAAAACCCAAAAACCTCAAAAAATCTGGGAATGTGCCCAAAAAATTCCCAAAAAACCCAAAAACCTCAAAAAATCCCGGAATGTGCCCAAAAAATTCCAAAAAAACCCCCAAAAAAACCTCAAAAAAATCTGGGAATGTTCCCAAAAAATCCCCAAAAAATCCCGGAATGTGCCCAAAAAATCCCAAAAAAACCCAAAAACCTCAAAAAATCTGGGAATGTGCCCAAAAAATTCCCAAAAAACCCCCCAAAAATCTGGGAATATTCCCAAAAAAATCTCAGGAAATCCGGGAATATTCCCAAAAAATTCCCAAAAAACCTTGGGAAATCCGGGAATTTGCCAAAAAAACCCAAAAAACCCCCCAAAAACCTCAGGAAATCTGGGAATGTTCCCAAAAAATTCCCAAAAAACCTCAGGAAATCTGAGAATTTTCCCCAAAAAACTCAAAAAATCCAGGAAAATTCCCAAAAAATCCCAAAAAACCTCAAGAAATCCAGGAAAATTCCCAAAAAATCCCAAAAAGCCTCAGGAAATCTGGGAATATTCCCAAAAAATTGTCAAGAAATCCAGGAAAATTCCCAAAAAACTCAAAAAATCCAGGAAAATTCCCAAAAAATCCCACAAAACCTCAGGAAATCTAGAAAAATTCCCAAAAAATCCTCAAAACCCCGGGAAAATTCCCAAGAAACCTCAAGAAATCCAGGAAAATTCCCCGGAAGTTCCCAGAAAACCTCAAGAAATCTGGGAAAATTCCCAAAAAACCTCAGGAAATCCAGGAAAATTCCCAAAAACCTCAAAAAATCCCAAAAAATTCCCAAAAAACCTCAAAAAATCCCCAAAAATGCAAAAAAAAATCCGAAAAAAAATTCCAAAAAAATCTCAGGAAATCTAGGAAAATTCCCAAAAAATTCCCCAAAAATTCCCCAAAAAATTCCCAAAAAATTCCCCAAAAATTCTCCAAAAAATCCCCAAAAATTCCCATAAAAATTTCCCCAAAAATTCCCCCAAATTCCCCAAGAATTCCCCATAAGTTCCCCAAAAATTCCCCAAAATTCCCAAAAAATTCCCCATAAGTTCCCCAAAAAATCCCCAAAAAATTCCCCAAAAATTCCCAAGAAATTCCCAGAAAATTCCCAAAAAATTCCCCAAAAATTCTGAGAAAATTCCAAAAAAATTCCCAAAAATTCCCCAAAAAATCCCATGAAATTCCAAAAAAATTCCCCAAAAATTCCTAAAAAATTCCCCAAAAATTCCAAAAAAATCCCCAAAAAATCCCCAAAAAATCCCAAAAAATTCCCCCAAAATTCCCAAGAAATTCCCAGAAAATTCCCAAAAAATTCCCAGAAAATTCCCAAAAAATTCCCAAAAATTCCCCCAAAAATCCCTAGAAATTCAAAAAAAATTCCCCAAAAATTCCCAAAAATTCCCAAAAAATTCCCAAAAAAATCCCAAAAAAATCCCCAAAAAATCCCCAAAAATTTCCAAAAAAATCCCAAAAATTCCCCAAAAAATCCCAAGAAATTCCCAAAAAATTCCCCAAAAATTCCCAGAAAATTCCCCAAAAATTCCCAGAAAATTCCCCAAAAATTCCCAAAAAAATTCCCAAAAAATTCCCCAAAAATTCCCAAGGAATTCCTGAGCATTCCCAAGGAATCCCCGAGAATTCCCAAGGAATTCCCGAGCATTCCCAAGGAATCCCCGAGCATTCCCGAGCATTCCCAAGGAATCCCCAAGCATTCCCAAGGAATTCCCGAGCATTCCCAAGGAATCCCCGAGCATTCCCAAGGAATTCCCGAGCATTCCCAAGGAATTCCCAAGGAATCCCTGAGCATTCCCAAGGAATTCCCAAGGAATCCCCGAGCATTCCCAAGGAATCCCCGAGCATTCCCGAGCATTCCCAAGGAATTCCCGAGCATTCCCGAGCATTCCCAAGGAATTCCCGAGCATTCCCAAGGAATCCCCGAGGAATTCCGAGCGTTCCCAAGGAATCCCCGAGCATTCCCGAGCATTCCCGAGCATTCCCAAGGAATTCCCGAGCATTCCCAAGGAATTCCCGAGCATTCCCAAGGAATCCCCGAGCGTTCCCAAGGAATCCCCGAGCATTCCCAAGGCATTCCCAAGGAATCCCCGAGCGTTCCCGAGCATTCCCAAGCATTCCCAAGGAATTCCCGAGCGTTCCCGAGCATTCCCAAGCATTCCCAAGGAATTCCGAGCGTTCCCGATCATTCCCGGCTGCGGATTCTGCGCTCACGCTCCGTCTCTCGCGGGGACAATTCCTCGTGGCCGGCGAGCGGGAGCAGCAGCGCCGGCAGCGCCTCCAGCTCCGAGCTCAGCAGCCGCTCCTGGTGCTCTGGGAATTCCGGGAAAAAAACCGGGATCGGATCCCAAAATTCCCGGAATTCCCGGAGATCGGGAAGGGTTGGGAAGGGAATTTCCTGGGAATTCCCAGAGTTTGGGAAGGGTTTGGAATTCCCAGAGTTTGGGAAAGGTTTGGAAAGGGAATTTCCTGGGAATTCTGGGAATTCCTGGAGTTCTGGAAGGGTTTGGAAAGGGAATTTCCTGGGAATTCCAGGAATTCCTGGAGCTTGGGAAGGGTTTGGAGCTGGGATTTTTCAAGGAATTCCCAGATTTTGGGAAGGGTTTGGAATTCCCAGAGTTTGGGAAAGGTTTGGAAAGGGAATTTCCTGGGAATTCCGGGAATTCACGGATTTTGGGAAGGGGTTTGGAATTTCCAGAGTTTGGGAAGGGTTTGGAAATGGGATTTTTCTGGGAATTCCCAGAGTTTGGGAAGGGTTTGGAAATGGGATTTTCCTTGGAATTCCCAGAATTCCCAAATTTTGGGAAGGATTTTGAGCTGGAATTTTCCAAGGAATTCCAGGAATTCCCAGATTTTCAGAAGAGTTTGGAATTCCCAGATTTTGGGATGAGTTTGGAGCTGAGATTTCCCTGGGAATTCCCAGAATTCCCAGAGTTTGGGAAGAGTTTGGAGCTGGAATTTTCCTGGGAATTCTGGGAATTCCTGGAGTTCTGGAAGGGTTTGGAGCAGGGATTTTCCAAGGAATTCC